GACATGGATATTGATGACGATGACACAATTGTGGTGACATTGGTGCCAAGACATCAAGGGGGTGGTATTACCATTGGTGGTATCAAGATCATTGAAGCTGCTGCAAAAAGTTGAGGATTGCACTGCAATTATCTTGAGTTGTTCGTGTTTTCTTAATGTATGTACAAATAAGATTTTCATTGCATCTTGCCTGCAATGAAAATTCGCCATGTTCTTGATTTCCAGTCCCAGTGTGATTTTCTGTGTCTTTGATTTAATCGATGGTTGCACTTCGCCCCAATCGATTATCAGTGTTGGTACTCCTCTAAATTCAGTGAAAATAAATTTTTTAAATTAAATCTCATTTATGAACTAGTGACAATAGTTAAACATGTATCTTCAAAATATCAAAATTAAACAGAGAAAGATTGCAAGATTCATTAAAACTATATAGCAAAGTAGGTAAAGATCATTGAGGTCATAGTTGAATCAAATCTGCAAGAGATTTTGATCGGTACGCTCATTTATTGAATACGATTAGTTTTCTTTTACAAAGTGTCACTATACTCGAAATAAAATTGGAAAAATTCGAGAGATCATGCGCGTTATGCTTTCCAAACAGTATTAATTCAAGCGCAAAGTTTTTAAGTTTTATTATGAAGATAGTACGAGATAAAAAGGTAGAATCGATTTTGACATATGATCGCAAAGTATAGTTCAGTGTCACAACATTTTGTGCTTTCACATAGAAGAGTGAGGCAAAAAGTTTTAAACATGTTTGATTGCATAAAAAAATAGCTTTAGATACTGAAACAAAAAAAGAATCATCTATAAATTTTAATTAGTTAATTGTTTATTTGACCCACGTTTGATGGTCATTATTTGTGTAAAAATATGTTTTAAATAGTCTTTTTTGGATTCTTGTGGATGTGTCGCCGTTAAAAAAAAGTATGAGAAATAAATTAGTATTATTTTTTTAGAGGGAGTCAATGGAATATAACTCAGTCCATAACCATTATTTTTATAAAGATTTGAGTTTTTGAATAGCACTTTCTTTGAAAAATGTGTAATAAAAAAGTAAGTCGTAGTTTGTCTCGTATTCTTTCAAAACTCTTTTTTCTACATACTCATTTTCAACCATATGTTCACACCATAAAATATTTTACATGTAAATCCAAAATTTTTCCATGCTTTTTAACTACATATTCTCCAAAAAATTACTATTTAAAATAGTGTTTTTTTTTCTTCAAAAAATGACCACCAAACAGAGGTTTAAGAAAAAAATTTGAATCTAAATAATATTTTATTGTGAGGATATGTAGTTGAAAATGAGCATGAAATTTTTTTTTTAATAATGGTTACTAAATAGTGGCTCATTTTCAATCATACATTCTCCCATAAAATAACTTTACATATAAATCCAGAACTTTTAATTATTTTTAACTACGCATTTTTACAAAATAAAAAAAAAATAGAAAAAAATCACTGTTTCAAAACCTATTTACTCTCGAAATCGAATTGACTGGTGCCAACTTGAGATGTTGATTTCAATGTCGAAAATTTGATAATACGAAATCAAGTACCATAAAATTGGCATCTTTTATATGAATTTATTTAGGGTTTTCAGATTAAAATAGAGAAAATGAGGTAACACGAAGACTTAACCACAAATATTTATCACTGAGAAATCTATTAAATTCATACTCTTATAAGCCTTAAATTCTCATTTTCAAGAAAAAGGCTAGGGAACAAATGCATGCTTTCGTAAACTAACCATTATATACGTCAGTCGTCTCATTTGTTTCGATCAAGGTACTCTAATCCATTAATAAAATTAATGTCGGTAATATTCATAATGGAAATTGAATTATCGGTGCCAACTTGAGATATTGATTTCAATGTCGAAAATTTGATAATATGAAATCAAGTACCATAAAAATTGGCATCTTTTATATGAATTGATTTAGGGTTTTCAGATTAAAATAGAGAAAATGAGGTAATACGAAGTCTTAACCACCAATATTTATCACTAAGAAATCTATTAATTAAATTCATACTCTAAGCCTAAAATTCTCATTTTCAAGAAAAGGGCTAGGGAACAATGGCATGCTTTCGTAAAGTAATCATTATATATGTCAATCATCTCATTTGTTTCGCTCAAGATACTCTGATCCATTAATAAAATTAATGTGAGAATATTCATAATGGACATTAAAGCAAAACCATTGCCAATGTTTTTTAAATAATCAAGTATAAATGTTACGTCCATAAAATGTTAAAAAAAAAAAATCCGAAATCTCCATCAACTCTTGTGTCGCTTTGAGTAG